TCTTGCACCAAAGAGCTGCGAGGGGCAGGAGGCTTTCGCTTCCTTCCTCCATGAGTTCCATTCCGTGGCCGGGGGGGCGAACGGCGAGCGACGAACGAACGACGAACGATAATACAGATATCCGAGCTTTAGAGGACAGCTGCGCAAGATAGTAAACATGTCCGAGCTCGAGAACACAGCGGGCAAGTCCAGGGGGGCCATGGGAGAGGACGAACGAGTGGGCCAGGGAGGCCGGGGGGGGAGGGCGGGGGGGGCTGGGCCCGGGGCAAGGGCAGAGGGGGGGCTGGGTCCACGGCCAGGCCAGGGGGCCAGGTGGGCCAGAGGGAGGAGTCACGGGAGCCAGGGGGAGAGGGGTCTGGGCCCAGGGAAAGGCCAGGGCGGCAAGGGGGGGGGAACAACGAACGACGACGACGAACGACGAACGAACGAACGACGACGACGACGAAAATAAGGAGGCCGGGGGGGGGGGGGGGGCGACGAGCGGGAGGCCGGGGGGGGGCGCGGGGCTGGGCCCAGGGAGTGGGTTGCGAAGGTCAGGGGGGGAGAGCGGGAGCTGGCGAGGGCCGGGTCCAGGGCAAGGCCAGGGCGGCCAGTGGGAAGGACGAACGACGAACGAACGAACGGCGACGACGAAAATAAGGAGGTCCGAGCTCTAGAACACAGCTGTGCAAGCTAATGCAGAGGTCGGAGCGGAATAGGGGTTGGCGCCGCGCCGCGCCGCTAGAGCGCAGCCAGGGCGGGGGGGCGCGCTGAAGGATGCGGAGAGAGCGCGCGGGCCGCGGTTGGGTGGCCGGCGCCGCGCCGCGCCAGGACAGAAGTGAGCGGTCGGGGCGGAGGGGGCCTTCGGCTGCCGGGGGCAGAGGGGCGGCGTAGACAAGGGGGCCGCCGGGAATGCACATGGGGGCGGGGGGGGGCGACGCAAAATCAAATGGTCGGGGCGGAGGGGGCGCTGGGCGGAGGTTCCATTGGGCCGCTGGGGGGCGCTTGGGAGGGGGGGGGGGCGGGGGGCGGGGGGCGACGCGACGCGGAATAAAGTTGCCGGGGCGGAGGGGGAAGCTGGGCCGTGGTTCCAGTGGGCTGCTGGGGAACGGCCAGGGATGGCGGGGGCGGGGGCGGGGGGGGGGTGCGACGCGACGCGGAATAATGTGGTCGGACCTCTAGACACCCGGTGCAAGATAATTACCTGGTCGGAGTGGAAGGGGGGCCGGTCCCGCGCCGCACCGGAAGAAGAGCGCGGTCGGGGCGGGGGGGCGCGCTGGCTGGCGGGGGAGGGATGCGGAAAGCGCATGTTGGCTGCGGAAGGGGGGCCGGTGCCGCGCCGTGCCGGGGCAGAACTGAGGGGGGGGGAGGGGGGCGCAAAATGAAGCGGTCGGAGCGGAGGGGGCGCTGGGTTGGCTTCTGGTGGTATAGGGATGGCGTGGGATGGCAAAGGGGCCCGCCGGGGACAGAACTGGGCACAGAGGGGCATTCGGTTAATGATGGCAGATGAGCGCAGAAGGGCGGCGAAGACAAGGTGGCCGCTGGAGACAGGGCTAGGGGCCAAGGGGGTGGGCGGAGAGGGGGAGCGCGACGCGACGCCGAATGATCAAATGATCGGGGCGGAGGGGGACCGGGCGATGGTTTCACTGTGATGGAAGGGGCGTGGGATGGGGGGCGACGCGACGCGGAATGAAATGATCGGGGCGGAAGAGGCGCGGTGTCGCCAGGAAGCGCAGGGCGTGGGGGGGTGGGGCGGGGGGGGGCGGGGGGGGGGAGGCGCGCGACGCGACGCGGAATCAAGCGGTCGGGGCGGAGGGAGCATTGAGCAGGGGTTCTTCTGAGTCGCGGGGGAACGCTGGCGATGGTGGGGGCGACGCGACGCAGAAAAAAGTCGCCGGGGCGGAGGGCGACGAGGGGGATGCTGGGGGGAAGCGGGGGAAGCGACGCGACGCGGAGTGAAGTGGCCGGGGCGGAGCGGCTGCTGGGCCGTTGGGGGGCGGGGGCAAGGGGCTGGGGAAGGGAGGCGGGGTCGGGGCGGGGAGGGGGGGGGGCTGGCGAAAGCAGGACAGGGGCGCGACGCGACGCAGGATAAAATGGTCGAGGGGGGGGCAGTGGGCGGGGGCCCCGCTGGGGCGCGGGGGTTCGCTGGGGGGGGGGTGCGACGCGACGCGGAATGATGTCGTCGGGTCGGGGGGGGCGCTAGGCTGCCGGGGCGCGCCAGGGGCGAGGCGTCGGGGGCGGCGAGGGGGGGCGCGACGCGAGGCGGAGTGAAATTGCCTGGGCGGGGATGCATGGCGCGGGGTTTCCATTGGGGCGCGGGGTGGCGCTGGGGAGGGGGGGTGCGGAGTGAAGTGGCTGGGGCGGAGGGGGCGCCGGGCTGCCGGGGAACGCTGGGGATCGGGGGTGGCGAGGGCGCAGGTGGAGGTGCGACGCGACGAGGAATAAAGTGGTCGGGGTCGGGGCGCGGGGGGCGTTGGGCGAGGGTCCCGCAAGGGCGCAGGGGAATGCTGGGAAGTGATCGGGGCGGAGGGGGCGCTGGGCGGTGATTCCACGGGGGCGCGGGGGAACGCTGGGGAGGGGGGGGCGCGGTGCGACGCGGAAGAAAGTGATCGGGGCGGAGGGGCACTTGGGTCGCTGGGAAACGCGGAGGAGGTGGTGGCGGGGGCGCGGACTAAAATTGTCGGGGCGGAGGTGGCAATGGGTGGAGGTTCCACTGTGCCGCCGGGGCGCGATGGGGAGGGCTTGGGGGGGCGCGGAGGGGGGGGGGGCGCGGTGCGACGCGGAATAAAGTTATCGAGGCGGCACTGGGCGGAGGCACCTATTAGTTTCGGGGGAACGCTGGGAGGGCGAGGAGTGGAGGCTGCGGTGTGACGCGGAACGAAATGGTCGCGGCGGAGGTGGCACTGGGCAGAGGCTCCACAGGCACAGTGGGGCTGGGGCGGGGGTGGGGGGGGCTGGGGGGGGGATGCGGGCGCGGTGCGACGCGGAATAAAGTTATCGGGGCGGGGGGGGCGCTGGGCGGAAGTTCGATTGGGCCGTTGGGGCACGCTGGAGAGGGCCGGGAGGGTGGCGGGCAAGGAAGGGGGGCACGCGGTGCGACGCGGAAACAAATTGTCGGGGCGGAGGGTGTGTTGGGCGGAGGTTCCACTAGGCCGCTGGGGCACGCTGGGCAGGGTTGGGGGGGCGGGGAGGGGGGCACGCGGTGCGACGGGGAATAAATGGTCGAGGTGGAGAGGCCAGTGGGCGGAGGTTTCACTGTGCCTCTGGGGAGCGCTGGGGAGAGGAGGGGGGCGCGTTGCGACAAGGAATAAAATGGTCGAGGCGGAAGGGAGCGGGTAGGGGCGGGGTTGGGGAGTGGCGGGAGGGGGGCGGGGAGGGGGAGCGGGCGCGGTGCGACGCGGAATAAAGTCGTCGGGGCGGAGGGGGCACCGGGCGGGGGTTCGCTGGGGAAGGCTGGGGAGGGGTAGGAGGGGGGGGCGGGCAGAGGGGGGAGCGGAGAAGGGGCGGGATTGGGGGCGGGGAGGGAGGGCGGGCGCGGTGCGACGCGGAGTGAACTTGTCGAGGCGGAATGGGCATTGGCAGAGGTTCCACTGGGCCACTGGGGAACGCTGGGGAGGGGTAGGATGGGGGTGGCGCGGTGCGACGCGGAATGGCATGGTCGGGGCGGACGGGAGCGGGCAGGGCGGGACTGGGGGGGGTGAGGGGAACGGGGGAGCGGGTGCGGTGCGACGCGGAACAAAATTGTCAGGGCGGAGTGGGCATTGGGCGGAGGTTCGATTGGGCCACTGAGGGACGCTGGGGAGCGGTAGGAGGGGGGCGGGGTGGGCAAGGGGAGGGCGGAGGAGGGGCGGGAGGGGGGCAGGGAAGGGGGGCGGGCGTGGTGCGACGCGGAATAAACTGGTCTGGGCGGAGGGGCACTGGGCAGAGGTTCCAATGGGCCACTGGGGAACGTTGGGGAGGGGTAGAAAAGAGGGGAAGGAGGGGGTGCGGTGCGACGCGGAATAAAATGGTCGGAGCGCTAGACACCTTGCGCAAGAGAATAAGCTGACCCCCCCACCTTCAGTCAGGGCGCTGAATTTAACCCCACTTGGAACTGAGAAGGGGCTCTGGTTTTCGGGCCGTTCTCTAGATCCAGGTCGGGGAATTCATTCGTGGCCGAGGCTCGCCGCGGCCAGAAAAATCTCTGCGCTCCTTATTCGACAGTCTATAGTCTATACGGCCGATGCCACCGACCCTGACGGGGGAGGACGACCACGACCACGACCACGACGACCACGACGACCACGACGGCGGCTGCTGCGACGGCGGCGACGACGACGACGACAGCGACGGCGACGGCGACGGCGGCGGCGGCGACGGCGACGGCAACGGCGACGGCGATGGCAACGGCGACGGCGACGGCGACGGCGACGACGACGACGACGGTGGCGGGGACGACGACGACGATGATGCTGACGCTCTGGAGCCCCTGTTGGGGCACTCCTGGGAACCTATTCGGTTCTGTTTCGAGTCCTCTTTTGGGGGTTTGTTTGGAAGCCCCGTGTCCACTTGGAGGTGCCTCGGAGCAGATCTGAGGCCTTTGGGAGACATGTAGGAAAACACGCAGCACCCCGCAGCAGCAGATGAAGTGAGGAGGATGCTTCCGGGTGGGGAGGGGAGTCCGAAAGGAGGGGGGGATGGCAGGTGCCCCCTTGTCCGCAAGGGGAATGCGGGGGTTCATGATTTCCCCTGCGGGGGGTCATGATTTCCCCCCTTGTCCACAATGGGAACATGCCTGTCCACCTTGTCCACCAGGCCCCCCCGGGACCCCTCCTCGGGAACCCCCCCGGGACCGCCCTGTTATAATTACCCCTCCCTCGGGATCCCCCCCCCGCTACCCCTCCCCGTGACCCCCCCTCTACCCCGCGGACCCCCCATGCGAATCAATTATCACGTTGTCGAATTTCCGTCTGGCAGGATCGCTTGAGGAGGGCCCAGGGAAAGGGGGGAAGCGGTGATGGCGACAACGACTCAAACGGAAAGACGTCTCGCACTCGCCGGGAGGTTCGGCGGATTCAGTGTTCTTCCAGGAAGCATGATGGCTCCATCCCCTTCGTTCCCCCTCCGCATGCCCCGTGGGCTGACCGACCTGCCTCCTAGACCGACTCGCTCCACCGGCCCGGGAGCCGCAGAGGAGCACGGACGCTGCGCACAGCCTCTCCTCGGCCGCGGCCCCTGCAAGCGAGCTTGCGCGCGGGGAGGGCGGGGTGGGGGCCGCCCAGGCATCCGACGATGTGTTCTTTTCAGGTCTCCGCAAGACGGATGAAGGCGATGCATCGGCGATGCATCGTCGACGTCGGCGAACAATCGGCGACACTGGCGCAGAGAAAATCCGGCTCCACAGCGAGCCGCATCGCCGATGCATGGTCGGACCCCATCTGGGAGGCCTAGACGAAGGCAACCCCAGGCTAGGAGGTAACTCCTGGGAGGCCTTCGCAAGACAGATGAAGGGCTATTCAGCACGATCAGGGGGTCATCAAGACGGGCCAGGATGAAGCCCGCTTATGCCAGCCTAAGTGGGCCTGAGTGTACTTCGATGGGACTATATCAGATTAGGCCAGGTTTTGTCCACGGATAGACAAGCGCCGATGTTGAATTGAACTTACCAGGAGTTGCATCTGCCGATGTGTGTTGTCCAATCCGCGGACCCCCAAAAGTCTCATTCCGCGGCCCCCAAGAGTCCTGACCGCGTCTGCGGTTTTTGGTTGTTGTGTGGACCCGATTCGATTGGCCCGGGGCCCGATAGGAACGGGCCCCGGAGGCTGAGACTGGGGGAAGACGCCGGGACTGAAAAAAAACACATCGTCCGAGAGTTGGGCTGCGCGCGGGAAGGTGTCTCTACGGGCTTGACAACTCTTCACCAATCGGTTTGGCAAATCGAGCCCGATAAGTCGAGGTAAGATCTAGGCAAATCCATGTCAATTCAAATAATCATGGCCAGATGCATCTAGGTGGTGAACGCAGAGATGACCGCGCAAATCTGGAGCAAACATCGCGGACGCCCCAGCGCGAGGCGAGAGGTTGTCAAGCCCTTCTGGCGAGCAGCATGCCCAGGGCCCGCCCGCCCCGGCCCGCGCTGGCGGCGGCCGCGGCGGCCCTCTGCGCCCCGCTGGTGGCGTGGGGCCTGCTGGGGGTCGTGGGCGAAAAGCATCCGTATCCGATCGGTCGGCTGGTCGCGACCGATTTTGGAATCGGTCGCGATCGGTCGCGACCTTTTTGGAGTGCCGATCGGTCGCTACCCATCGCGACCGGTCGGTATATCCAATGATCTGGGTCTAGGGTACACCTGAAGAGGTGCTTGCGGATGTGCTGTGGGAGCGGCATTCCGCGATGCAGGCTGATTTGGATTTCGTGGGCGCAAATCATATCCGTATCCACGGCCTCGCGGAGCGGGCCCCTGGGAAGCGGCCCTGCGGACACGGGGCGATTCCTTCGCAGATACCTCGCGCGGAGAGTGTCCGCGACGGCGCAGCCGCGGGATCGCGGCCTGGGTCCGCGGGGTCGCGCCCCGGAGTCCAGCATGCTGTTGGATCCATCAAGCGCTCCGCCGCCTCAAGCGGTGCAGCAGCGCTACAGGGAAGCGTGGCATGGACAGCGCAGCTCTGCACATGCGTCAGAAGCTACAGCGAGCAAGAGCACAGCAGAGCCCTCGTGAGGGTGCGGATGCGGATATGTTCGCCGCTCGCGAGGGGGCCCCCGCGCGACCGCGTGGCCAGGGCACGGCCGCCTTCGCGGGCGGCGCGGCTGCCGCAGGGCGGCTTCGGGGGCCGACGCGGGCATTCCAGATCTCGGACACATCCGGTAGCAAGTCATGGGAGCCTTGTGCATGTCCTTGTAAATCCGTCTTAAGAGTGCATCATCGTGCGCCAGCGACTTGTAATCGATGAGGGTGCCAGTTTAGCGCCGACTTAGCGTATATTTAGCGTTGGCTAGCGTCGATCAGCGCCGGCTAGCGTCGGTTAGTTTCGGTTCGCAAGAGTCAGCGAGATTGCATGGGAGGTCTCCACGAGATGCCATCGAAGACGCATTGATATGATGATGTAGCACCCCGCAGTTGCGGATAAGGTGGGGAGGACGGGCGCGGGGTGGGTCGCGGGTGGGTCCCAGGCGAGTCGCGGGTGGGTCGCGTGGTGGGTCGCGGGTTGGTTGCGGGTGGGTCGCGGGTGGGTCGCAGGTCGGTCGCGGGTGGATCGCGCGTGGGTCGCGGGTGGGTCGCAGGTGGGTCGTTGGCGGGTCGCGGGCGGGTCGCGGGCGGGTCGCGGCGTGGGTCGTGTCGCGGGCGGGTCGTGGGCGGGTCGCGGGGTGGGCCGCGGGTGGGTCGCGTGTGGGTCGCGGGGTGGTCGCGGGGTGGGTCGCGGGTGGGTCGCGGGTGGACCGCGGGTTGGTCGCGGGCGGGACGACGACAACAAAAAATTATGACTGGAGTGCAGCGTCCCCAAACAGGATTTAAACACCCATGAGGGTTTCCAAGTTCGATTGCCTCCGCGTCCGGTGCGGGTTGGCATGGCAAGTTGGAACATGATAACATGATGTTTGCATATTTGCGGTTCGCACAAAAGCTTGTGTGATGCTCTCAGGAAGCCATCGCTTGAGGGTCTCGCACGTCTCGAAACAAAAATCGTGACGTCGGATGTCTGTGGAGGGCGGAAGGCAGGGTGCGCATGGCGGCATCTCGGAACTTCGCAGTGTGAGGATGGCTCGGGCGAAACGGGCTGGACTATCTAGGAGCTCAGTATTGGATGGATGTCCCAAGCGAAACGTGCCGTTTTACCTCTCGCTTCCCGTTGGGACCTCTCATGCAACTCCCTTCCTCCTCCCTCCTCCTCCTCCTCCTCCACCTTCTGCCTGCTCCCTCATACTCCTCCTCCTCCTCCTTCTCCTCCTCCCTTCCATCTTCTCGTTGTCCTTTTACTCCTCCTCCACCTCCTCTTCCTCCCGAATAGCATCTAGTAGCTCAGAAATTCGACCATGTCCAAGGCGAAACGGACTGGAACACCTCTCGCGCGGCATCTCGGAGCCCAGAGTTGCGAGGATGTCTCAGGCGAAACGGGCCGGACCACCTCGCGAGCGGCATATTTGAGCCCCGAGTTGCGAGGATGTCTCAGGCGAAAAGGGCTGGACCACCTCTCGCACGGCATCTCGGAGCTTAGAGTTTCGAGGATGTGTCAGGCGAAACGGCCAATCCCAGCCAACTCCGAAACGAGAGTTATGAGGATGTCTCAAGCGAAACGGCTCGGACCACCAGATTGTTTGAGGATGTCTCGTCTCCGCTTTCCACCGGCCGTAACTAGCTTCTACCACAACGGCACCCTGTTCACCAAGCTGTTTTGGGAACAAGCAACAAACAACAACAACAACAACAGCAACAACAACAACAAAAACAAAAACAATAACAACAACAGCAGCAACACCAACAGCAACAACAACAACAACATCAGCAGCAACAACAATCATGTTACCCTCATGTGCGATGTTACCACACGAAGCATGCGACCATCATGGTAACCATCCCCATCATGGGGGACTATTGGACAATAGCGGGGTCCGTTATTCCCATTCAGAGATCTCCCGCCCAATGAGGTCTTGCAAAAACCTCCGACGATTTCAACATATCTTGCCTCGAAAACGCATGCCCGCGCCTTGCTGCGCCGATGCGAGACCGCCAGTGGAGCCCCAGCCAACGGTAAAGCAAAAGGAAGTATCGAGCGACAGGACTGCCTTGGTGGGGATGGGGGCTGTCGGCGGCGAGGCAAGGATTTGGCCCTGAATAGAAAGGGAGGAGGTCTCGAGCAGGGCCGCTGTTGTTGCTGGGAGCGGCGCCAATGCTGAAGAGAGTAGGGCGGTAGTCCAGCGGAAAACAAAACGAAGTCTCGAGCGGGAGGACTGGTTTTGTTGGGACGGCGGTTGTCGGCGGCGAGGAGGAACACCGCCTTGAGTAAGAAGGGAGGAAGTCTCGAGCGGGAGCTGTGGTTTTGTCGGGACGTAGGCTGTCGGTGGCGAGGAACAGCACCGTCCTGAGGAAAAAGGGAGGAGGCCTCTGGCGGGAGCGCTGTTCTCGCTGGGAGAGGCGCCAATTCAAAAGAGAGCAGGGCGCCAGTCCAGCGTAAACCGGGAGGAAGTCGCGGGCGGGAGCGCTGGTTTTGTCGGGACGGCGGTTTTCGGCGGCAAGGAGGAGCACCACTTTGAGTAACAAAGGGAGGAAGTCTCGAGCGGGAGCGTTGCTGTTGCTGGGGGAGGCGCTGATGAGAGAAAGAGTAGCGCGCCAGTCCAAGGTAAAACGGGAGGAAGTCTCGAGCGGTAGCGCCGGTTTTGTTGGGACGGCGGCTTTCGGCGGCGAGCAAGAGCACCGGCCCTGAGTAAAAAAGGAGGAGGTCTCGAGCGGGAGCGTTGTTGATGTTTGGGGGCCAGTTTTGGCGCCCCCCCAAGCCGCTCGAGCGTGAGTCTCATTTTCAATGAAAATGTAGCCGGCGCCGAACGGAGAGCGCTAAAGCGTTTGGGGGGTCCAACAATAATAATTGTGTAGTGAGTATCATTCAACAATAACAACAACAAGAGCAAGCTTAGCAACAACAGCACAACAACAAAACACAACAACAACAACAACAACAACAACAACAACAACAACAACAACAACAACAACAGCAACCTGCACCGCGGAAGCCCACTTCAGTCACGAGGGACAATGAATGACCGTTCGGCCCCCCGCTCTGACCCTGCGACGTATCCAACCCATCTGCCTGACATGACAAGAGGAGCTGGTCCAGAATGAGATGGTCGATGACAGCACCCGGCCTGTCATTAGATACGCAAGCTATTTGGAAAGCGTGTGCGTTGCACGATTCCAGAGACAGCAACACAGGGACGGGGATTGAGGCCCTAGGCTTGAAGAGGAACTTGGGGTGAGAACGAGGGGCAAGAAAAGGAGGAAGAGGGGCCGAACAGTTAATGCGACAGCAACGGTGACACGGTGGAAGGAGGAAGCGGGCGACAACGAAAGGTGCAGCATGAGGAAGGAGGGTGGCGATCATTGTCTAATGGCGCGCTTGACAAGCAAGCAGCGCGGCCTGCGCCATGCCGCCCGGGCGGTCCAATGGATCAGTTGCTCGTAGCTAGTGCAAGAAGCGTGCGAGGCGAGGCCGAGGTTCGCCCGCCGGGTTCTTCGCTGCATTCCTGCACGTGGCAATGCGGGAGCTGAACGCCCGCAGGCGCACCGCCATGTCTTCGGGCGGCCCGTGGGAAAAGACAGCAAGGCGAATCCGACTGCGCGTAGGACCAGTCTTGCAGATCGCAGCCCCCCTAGCATGATGAGGTCCGATCTGGGTCCGCATAGGACGTCACCATGCTGGGCTCCCTACCCGCTTTCGACGAAAGTGGTGACACCTTCGCAGGTCGCCCCCCCTTAGGATGGCAAAGTCTCGTATGAATCTGCGCGGCGCGTCCATCCGCTGGACCCACCAGCAGCCATCGAAACTGGCGACGGGCTACAGGCTTCGAACAAATAGCGAACACTCATACCACATTCATCTGTGAACGCCCCCCCCTCCCCCCAATGTTCAAAGTTGGCGGTGGGTCTGGTGAGTTGCACCTCGACCGCAGTCTCCTCCGCGCGTGCCAACTTCGAGTTTGGGGGGCAGGGGGGGGGGTCACGAATTGTTTCCCTCTACCGTATCAGCTCGCAGCCCCCAGGGATGACGAGGTCCGTCTAATCTGACTTTGCGTGGTGCGTCACTCCGCTGGACCCCCCCGGCAGCATGCGAAAGCGGCGAGTTCTCGCGGTTCGCGACCTTCCAGGGATGACGAGGTCGAAAATCAATGTGCGTAGCGCGTCCTGGACCCGCAAGCAACCCGCGGAAATGGCGAGAATATTCGCGGTTCGCAGCCCCCCCAGAAATGGGGAGTTGAATCCGAATCTGCGACGCGCGTCGCCGCGCTGGACACCCCAGCAACCCTCGAAGTTTGCGGCAATCTCGCAGTTTGCAGCCTTCAGGGACGGCGAGGGCAAATCTGAATCTGCGGAGCGCGTCACCTGGCTGGGCCCCCGAGCAGCCCGCGAAAATTGAGACCACAGTCCGCAGCCCCCCCCCCCAGGATTGGCGAGGTCGGGTTTGAGCTTGCGTAGCGCGTCACCCCGCTGGACGCCCCAGTGGCTTTCGAAATTGGTGTCAATTTCGCAGCTTGCATTCCCCCAGGGAGAACGCCATTCCGTTGGATTCCCGAGCAACCCTCGAAGGCCGCGACCTTGTCACAGTTCGCAGACTCTTGGAATGGCGAGGTCGAATCCAAATCTGCGTAGCGCGCCGTTCCGTTGGACACCCCAGCAGCTTTCGAAACTTCCGACGGGCTCGCAGTTCGCAGCCCCCACAGGGATGGTGAGGTCGAGTCTTAATTTGCATAGCGAGTCACAGGACCGACCCCCCAGAGGCTTTCGAAATTGGCGAGAGCTTCATTTCGCAGCCCCCTTTCGGGGGACGAGGTTTAATCTAAATCTGCGCGTTGCGTCAATCCGTTGTACCCCCCCCCAGCAGCCTTCGAAAGCGGATCAAATTTTGCAGTTTGCAGCCCCCCCAATGATGGCGAGGTCGAATCTGCATTTGCGTAGCGCGTCACCCCGCTGGACCCCCAACGGCCCTCGACGGTGGCGACCTTCTGACATGTCGCAGCCCCCAGGTCTAGTCTGAATTTGCGCAGCGCGTCGCTCAACTGGCTCAGCTGGACCCCGGGCAACTTTCGAAAGTTGCGAAAAATTGCGCAGTTCGCACACACCCAGGTCTGCGTA